GATGCTTTTGAACTGTGGTGTTGGAGAAGACTCTTGAGAGTCCCTTGGACTGCAAGGAGATCCAACCAGTCCATCCTAAAGGAGATCAGTCCTGGGTGTTCATTGGAAGGACTGATGTTGAAGGTGAAATTCCAATACTTTGGCCACCTGATGCAAAGAACTGATTCATTTGAAAAGACCCTGATGCTGGGAAGGATTGACAGAAGGTGGAGAAGAGGACAACAGAGGATGAGATGGTTGAATGGCATCACCGACTCAATGGACATGAGTTTGAGTAAACTCTGGGAGTTGGTGATGGACAGGGAGGCCTGGCATGCTGCAGCCCATGGGATCAAAGAGTCGGACACAACTGAGTGACTGAACTGACTGAAGCAGGAAACTCGGGTTCGATCCCTGGGTCAGGAAGGTCCCCTGGAGAAGGAAATGGCAACCCACTCCAGTATTCTTGCCTTGGGAATTCCATGGACAGAGGAGCCTGGCGGGCTATTGTCCATGAAGTCACAAAGAGTTGGACACGATTTATAGCAACAACAATCTACTATGGGTATCAATTGGGCATTTAAATTAGGTGCTAAGTTTCCTGGTGCAACATAAGATTCCTGGTTGCAACCTAAGCAACATCACTTAGATTCTGTTTCTTCACTTTTATCTATAAACTGGAACAAAAAATACACTTAAAAGACTGGTCAATTACAAGTACAAACATTTATCATCTGGTGTCTAACAGTGAATAACTTAATTAAATCTGAATCTATTTCTTGAGCACCTGCTCCAGCAAAGTCACTTTGAAAGTTTAAAATTCTATCTTATGTTAAGACGGTTTTTGTTAACCTCTGAGTCAGAGCCATACTGAGCTAAAAAAAGGGTTTATTGCCTGCAGTTATCTCATTACCAACAGGGTCTAGAAAGCAAATCTTCAATATGATTTTATTTTCCTGTGAAGAATTTTAATTTTTTAAAAAGTACTTTCACTGTATCTATGAATCTAGGAAATGTTTGTACAAATGGACAGCAAAGAAAAGTTTGAAAGGGGTAATTATTCAAACAGAAAGTGTCCCTTTTGGTTGGGAGGTTGAGGACGCTGCGTCATCTTCCTTTCAACACGCTTCTGAGAATAGGGTTAATGCTGTCTGGGAAGGTCCCCCAGCTCTGCTCTGTTCCTCTCTTGACTGGACGGAGACTGTGTGACTCCGTTTAATGAGCATGAGATAGCAACCATCACACCAGATTGTTCATCTGTAATTTGAGATTCCTGGAAGAAACGCACTGCACAGTAGCTTATATTTGACTTTAGTCGAATTTCCCTCAATACGTTGATGACAGAGGAAATCTCTCTCATGCTCTGTCAGGATGGAGGGCTTATGCTTTGGAGTTAAATAAGTGTGGCTTCAAAACCCAGGACTGCCACTTGTGAATGGTGAGAATTTGGGCCAACAATTTAACCACACTGAGCCTAACCTTTCTCTTTTATAAAATGATAATAATATTTCATACCCCCACAAGATGCATTGAAAGTGCCTGGCTCATAATTAACTCTAAAAATTAGTTGTTTTACTTTTGCAGTTTCTTACTCATGACATCAAAACAACCGTGATCTCAGGAACAATGATGAGCTGACAAAGTAACTATTTAATTGTTTTTTCTTTTTCAACTCTCTGCTTTAATAAATTACAAAAGGACCCAGAAAAGATCAAGAACATATTTTCAAACTAAAATAATATTTTTGTTGATCACAATACTGCTATTAATTAATAATAGCATCTTGAACAGTTCATTTTTGCCAACTAGAAAATTCATGAGTTATTCATTGAACAAGAAATGGAAAAGATAACATAATTTTTGAGCTTTTTCTGGCTGTTCTTGAGAATGAATGTTATAGAATTTTTAACCCTGCCCCCTAGCAATAAATAGCAGAGCACAGACAATATAAGCCAAACAAAGGCAACACTTACGAGTTGTGTTCAAGACATGGTTTTGACTTGGTTTGGACTTTTGGTACATAGAATATCTGCTTATATGTAAAAGATATCTATAGTTTATCTGCATGACTATGTCGGTCCCTGTGAAATCCAACAGAAGTCAAAGATCTGCTGCTGAGGTCATCTCTAGAGAGATAGTCAGGGATTTATGCCCATAGCATAGCAGCAATAGCTTCTTGTTTACCTGGAACTTAGTGGCTCCGGATGGTTCAAAATTCCCCCTAAACTTGAGTCACTACTCTCTAATGAGTAGGCTTTAAGAAAGTGCCACATATTCAGGATAACTTTGATGTGGCTTCCCTTTCTTTGAAACTATTATCCACCCATTTGATAAGTGGCATTTGTGGTATAGGCCTGATTTGTGCTTAAAAAAATCAGCCATATTATTGCAATTAATTGTGTTTTATATAGATCAACACAATGTCAAGTGCCCAAAGTCTAAAACCTGGTACATGCCACTAGATGTTAGTTTTTGTCTTCAGTAACTTAAGTCATGTCTGACTCTTTGAGACTGTGAGAACTGCAGCACGCCAGGCTTCCCTGTTAGTTTTACATCTTGCTAGATGCTCAAGTACTTATTAATAGATTGCTTTTTCAGGCAAACATTTCAAAAGAAATGTTCACCTGGAGATGCGGCCCTAGTCAAACTACAAATGCTGTATAAGAACACATATTTCTTAGTATTGGGAAAAAATAGACATAAAACTGTTTTATTTTTCTTAGGAAGTAAAGGATCCAATTTAAGATGTTTCTCCCAGATGTTTGCTTCATGGAAAGAAGCAAACAGTGACAAGAAAAACCTGAGTCTGTCCAAGATAATCATTATTAAGCAATGTGTCTGGGAATGTGTGCCATAAACCTGAAAAATTAAAACCATTACCGACATTTCTGTAACTCCTTCTTGCATATTGCCTTTACTGGAAATTTTTTTCTAATTGTTTGCTTTCCATTTCTGTTCGTTAGCCTTTTTTCCTTATAGGAAAAAAGGATGAGAGAAGACAAAAAATTTTATATTGTCTATTTTTATCTTAATTGCATTTAAATATTTAGAAACCAACCCATCATACCTCTTAGCATTCAAAAATCCAGTTATTTTCTTCACTGGGCAGCTCTCTCACCACATAAATGTACATTTTCCAGATTTTTCTAGACTCGATTTGTCTAGACTATTAGCTTGAATAATCACAACTTTTTCCTCCCACAGTCCTTCCTATGTGGAACTAAACTCAGTAAGATATTCCCCCTGGGTCATGCACCTCAAATTGTTAGGGGGTCTTCAGGATTAATCACATCAGACTCACTGAGGAAGGTCAAGGTGTGAAGCTGGAGCAGCACAGAGGGGTGAGCCAGAGACCTTGGCCCTGAAAATCTGGTTCCCTGGCTCCCTGGATGAGAACCACGCCAGCACCCAGATGTTGGTCCACGAGAAGTCTCCTTCGGGAGAGTTTATGATCTCTTAGATCATCTAAACAAGAGGGGAGGCCTTGGTAGTCCTGGAAGAAATGCCAGCGGTCATGTACCCAGCCCTTAATTGCATAAACAGAAAGTAAGACCTGGACAGGCTGGGACCACACCCCATGAGCAGAGCCGGTCCTGAGGTTCCGTCTATAACTCCTTGTTCAGTCCACAGGTGGCTTCACTCAAGGCAACACAGAAGCTCTCAGCAGTGATGCGATCATCTGAAAAGCTTGACCAGAATGTGGAGTTCTTGAGACCATCAGGGCTGGAAGGACTTGACAGACAGTGTTTTTGCCTACTAATCATTTGTCCACTTTCTCCTCACTCCAGAATCCCAGTTCAGCTGCAGAGAAGTGGACATTTTCTGAGCCAAGTCTCCTGTTCCTCTTGCCAGCCAGGGGTCAGCAAGAGTGTCAGTCACAACTCCAGTCTGTGACATGTGAGATATCTGCTAGTTCTGCTGGGGGCATTTTCCTCCATCTTAAGATGGATCATAAAATGAGGATGAAATGGCCTCAGTGTTGTCTGCGGATGGCCCCGTTGAACCGCATCAGCCACCTTACAGTCACGAGGGAGCAGCTTGATGACAAAAGGCAGAAAGAAAAGATGAGGGGAACTTGGCCCTTGATATCTGCAGAGCCACTCAATTAACTTCCCCCAGGGACCTGTTCTTCCTCCGAGCTTTTTTATGAGGGAAGATGACCTCTCTTTATTGTTCAGTCATTTGAGTTGAGCTCCGTTGTTCACATCTGAATAGGTTCTTTTTTGTTTTCTTTTGATTTTTAAAATTTGTCTTGGGGTATAGCTGATTAGCAATGTTGTGATGGTCTCAGATGAACAGTGAAGGAACTCAGCCGTATATATACAGGTATGCATTCTCCCCCAAACCCTCCTCCCATCCAGGCTTTTTTTTTAATTAAATTTTTTATTGTTGAAAAAGTACATTATATAAAACATACTATTTTCACCATGTTTAACTGTGCAGCTCAGTAGCACTAAGTACATTCACATGGGTATACAACTCCCACCATCATCCGTCTCCCGAATTTTTCACCTTCCTCAACTGAAGCTCTGTCCCCTTTCTCCCTTTCTACTCCCTACCCCTCCATCCCTAGCTCCTGGTATCCACCAGTGTACTTTCTGATTCTATGAATTTGACTATTCTAGGTACTTTGTATAAGTAAATCAAACAGTATTTATCTGCACCTACTGTACATTGGAATGCATTTTTAAGGTTAACTTAATAGATGTCCCACAAACAAACTTACCTCCCTTATTTTTCCTTGTGCTATACAGTAGCACAGGCCATCTACTTCATACACAATAGAGGATATACGTGAATAAGTTCTTTTACAAGGTGTTTCAGCTACTCTTTTCTCTTATAAGACCAGCTATTGAATCAACTATTGGCCCAATTTTGGCCAAAGAGTACAAAGTTTCAACTATGCAAGGTGAATTCTTCTGGAGATATGATGCACAGCATTGTAACTAGAGTTAACAAGGCTGTATTGTATACCTGAAATTTCCTGAGGGTTGATCTTACTTGTTCTCATCACATTTAAAAAAAGACATGGTAACTGTGAGGTGATGAATATGTTAATTAGCTTGACTGAGAGGATTATTTCACAGTGGATATGCATTATCAAAACATGGAGTTGTGCACTATATATATATATATATGTGTATGTGTATATATATATATAATTTTTAAATTACACACAATTTTCACTTGTCAATTATACCTCAATAAATCTGGAAAAATATATATAATCACTCTGCAACATAAAATGAGGCACTCTAAGATAAGAAAAAGAATGAAGGGCCAAGAAAGTCAAAGTTCTGGTCTTATGACATGGAAAGAATAGATTGTAATTTACAATTACAATTTTTGATAAATATGATTTATTTCAACTATTGGGGAAGCAAGCATATTTTCCACTGAATTACTCGAGTGACTGCCTCCCATCTCTGCCTCCCCCACACTGTCACTTTAAGCACAGGAAGATACATACGTCTTTGCAGCAGAATAATTTTATTGTGATCAAAATGTAAACATCATATGGCCAAATTTTTAAAAACAGTTCTAGACCAAGGATCTATTTCCACAATACTAGCAAAATAAAATATTTCTAGGTGCTCCTCCACAGCAAAAAAAAAAAAAAACGTATTTCAGAATTCCAGCCCGGAGGCCACAGGCTGACATGATACATTTCTGGAGTGTGTGTCTGTAATGTGAGATAAAGTATTGGTTTCTAGTTAAAGTCTCTGCCCCCAAACAGAGCTGGTGGGTTGGCATTAAAGGACTCTCATCAACCTTTCCATTCCCCAGGGGGGGCTTAAGGATGTACAGTAAAAATGAGGGAAGAGGAATCTTCTTTCTTCTTTTTCATAGGATTTTCCTAAACCTGAACTCAATGGAATTTTTTTTTAATTGTAAGCAACCAGAACAAGGAAATTAGAGGCAGTTGGGGGCCCTGAGGGAAGTTGGATTAGCTATCTGGGCTCAGTTTCCTCAACTCCAAAATGAATAGTATGCTTTCTGGTCACCTCCTCCATCCAGCACACAGCCTTGCACACAATCATCCTGACCTAAATAGTAAGAATTCATGTGTAACTCTATAAAACAATTCACAGTCATCCCTTAAGGTCAAATCCAAAATTCTTGAAAGCAATTTTTCAAGAAGCTCTTACATCTTAATTATTATCTGATCGTCTATCCTCATCTCCTCCCTAGGACCCCCACACTGGTCTGTGGATCTGATCATCCTCTAGTCCTCTCCCTTTCCAAGAAGATTCAGCACTGAAAGTCACCAGTCAGCTCAAGGTAGGAGTAAGGAGGAACCCCTGGCCACCTCTCTTTGACTTGCCCTCCACCTCTAATCTACCTATCCCCAGACCTGCTGAATACCCTTAATCCATTGTCTGATCTTCAGTGTCTATCTCAGCAACCTCCAGGCTCTGATACACATGGCTTTTCCCCAAACGACTTCCCATCCTACAGAGGAGACAACACTTTGTAAAGGTCAATTCTGACCATGTCTCTTGGGCATCAACACACACACTTCCCGGACACTTCAAGGATCATCTTCACACTCGGTGTGAATGAACATGCCTCTTTTCACCAAGCAGTGTCTCCTCCCTGACACCACAATGCACAGTCCTCTTCCTCGAGGAAGCTGCCTCTGCCTCCCTACCCAGTCAGATTCCTTCATCATGGGGTGGTCCCCGTGATGGAAGTGGTAGGACAGCTGGGTTGGACCTCGGAAAACAGGAAGCCGACACTGATCTCATGGGTATCTGCATGTAGGTTCTAACAACTTTTTAAAAATTTATTTTACTGAAATATAGCTGATTTACAGTGTTTTGTTAATTTCTGCTGTACAGAAAAGTGATTCATATATATATATTCTTTTTCATATTCTTTTCCATTATGGATTATCACAAGATACTGAATATAATTCCCTGTGCTGTCTAGTAAGATCTTGTTGTTTACCGATCCTATATATAACAGTTTGCATAGGTTTTTAAAATTTTGAAAGTTTTTCTCAATTAAAACTGGAAAGAGAAAAGTCACATATGTCATAGAAAGCCAGATATCACACTTAGCATTTTGGTATATTTTCTTCAAGTCTGTATATGTATTTTCATAGAGCTATGACCAAATGATTAAAAAATTCTACTAGCAACATGTCAGACTAAAATGAAGTCACTTTTTACTAAATTATAGGGCAAGTGCCAAAAATAGTACCACAGATTTTTCCAGCTCTGTAGCCAAAAGGTCCCTTCAGAACTCCATGTAGTTCCCCTTCATCATTGCTGGAAGTTATAGTTGGGAGGGATGGTGGGAGTAGAAAAAAAGTGTTTTAATAATACAGAAACAAAGCTTAAAACTAAATAATAGAGTGAGCCTTAAGTATAACTGACTCAGGCTCACGTGTCACTTTCTGAACGTGTTTGAAGGGGTGTCATTCACAAGCAAATATCACAACTCACCCTTGCATAAACTGAAGAGCAATTAAAGACAAATCTTCTCCTCCAAAACATCACAGTGTGAATGACTTAATACCAGTTAATAAAATATTCTAGTTAATCAGAGCACGACATTAGCAGACCATGCTGATTAAGTTAGAATCTTTACCCAATGCAATTTAAATTTCTTTGAAGATAAACTATAAGCTTCCAGATCTTGGATTCCAATACTGTTCTCCAATAAGAGGGAGCAGGGCACCTTGAAGACATGATTGATTTGAAGACTGGGACAGGAAAAATACAAGATGAGCCTAGAGCATTTGTAGTACTCAAAAAAAGCAAAGAGAAAAAAAAGCCCACAATGATAAGGTTGTGTCAAAGGGACACAGGACAAGTAAAAGAGGTGCCCAAGCCCAACAACGGACAATTTAAACAACAAAATAGAGTAGCATTGGATTATAATTCAGAGTATAAAATAAATGCCCACAAATCCATCCTGATATAGATAAACAATTGAATAAATTAATAAATAGGGGAGATAGAGACAATGTCTCATGCATAAAAACAAACAAATGATGTAGATACTTCATCCTAAAGCTGAGGGGCATAACTCTCTACTCCTTAAATGTGGGCTGTGCCTCATGACCTCCTTCTAAAGGCTACAGTCTGGGAAGTAGGAAAAAGTAACTTCAAAGAGAAGTCTAGCAAATGCTACTCAAGCCATGTGGTCAAGATCAATGCACTGTGATATTATGTTCCCAAGATATCATGTGATGACAATGGTACTTTACCTCTGTGATCTCCTTCTCAAAACCTAAACTCCCAGCCTGCTCATAAGGAAAACAATTACACAAATTCTAAGAGAGGGGCATGCTACAATATACCTGCTCAGTACTCCTCCAAACTGTCAAGATCACCTTAAATAAGGAAAATCTAAGACACTGTCACAGCTAAGAGGAACTTTGACTAATGTAAGGCAATATCCTGGATGGGATTCTGAGGCCAAAAACAGAATGTTGGATAAAAACTAAGGACATCTGAGTACACTCTGGTCTGTAGTAAACTATAATGTATCAATATCAGTTCATTAATTATAAGAAAAGTATACCATACTAGTGTAAGATGTTAATAATCAGAAAAAGAGCAGTATAGCTACTGTACAGGGGATATATGTGAATTCTTTATATTATATGCTCAATTTTTGTGTTATTCTAAATCTGTTCCATTAATTTAAAAAAAACATAAAATTCATAGTAAGTTTTCCTTTAACTATTTTTTGTTTTGTAAATTATTTATTTATTTATTTATTGGCCACTTCTTGTGACCAAGGATTAGACCCGTGCCTCCTGTAGTGGAAGCACAGAGTTTTAACCATTGGGCCACCACGGAAGTCTGTCATTCTAAGTTTTGATTGACAAAAATGTCCAGCTGGGTCTGTCCCCTTTTCATATCAAGATCCTAACAAAATAAGCACTGTCAGGTCAGGATGGTCTAGGAAGGCACAAATAGTTCTCAGCTCTGTTGTGCATTTAAATCACCTGATGTATCTTAATAATAATAAATCAGAATCTCTGCTGATGGGCATCAGCAATTTTTACAACCTTTTCATACTACCAAAAGTCTAATTTTGCCAACAGAAAGATTCCATATAACCATATCATAAAATTGCACCTTTTGTCATCATCATGAAATGTCTCTTTTTCACAGCAGGAAGCAATGTTACCCCCTTTCCTTTTCTCCCTTAAGACACCTGGGGGCTTCAGCCATGATTCTGGCAATATAAAGGTAAGTAAGAGAGTGACTCGAGCCACTTTAAAAAATTTTAAACACTTAAATATGCCAGAAAATTTAGAAAACTCAGCAGTGGCCACAGGACTGGAAAAGGTCAGTTTTCATTCCAATCCCAAAGAAAGTCAATGCCAAAGAATGCTCAAACTACCAGGTAAATAGATGGGGAAACAGTGGAAACAGTGTCAGACTTTATTTTTTGGGGCTCCCAAATCACTGCAGATGGTGATTGCAGCCATAAAATTAAAAGACGCTTACTATTTGGAAAGAAAGTTATGACAAAATATTGAAAAACAGAGACATTACTTTGCCAACAAAGGTCCGTCTGGTCAAGGCTATGGTTTTTCCAGTAGTCATGTATGGATGTGAGTTGGACTATAAAGAAAACTGAGCACGGAAGAATTGATGCTTTTGAACTGTGGTAGTGGAGAAGACTCTTGAGAGTCCCTTGGACTGCAAGGAGATCCAACCAGTCCATCATAAAGGAGATCAGTCCTGGGTGTTCATTGGAAGGACTGATGTTGAAGCTGAAACTCCAGTACTTTGACCACCTGATGCAAAGAGCTGACTCATTTGAAAAGACCCTGATGCTAGGAAAGATTGAGGGCAGGAGGAGAAGGGGACGACAGAGGATGAGATGGTTGGATAGCATCACCAACTCAATGGACATGGATTTGGGTGAACTCCGGGAGTTGGTGATGGACACGGAGGCCTGGCGTGCTGCAGTTCATGGGGTCGCAAAGAGTCGGACATGACTGAGTGACTGAACTGAACTGACTGAAACACTTAAAGCAGCAAACTACAGACTCTCTCTTGCTTTATTTCTCTTTTATTTTCTTGAGAAATTCTTACTTAGGATATTGAAGATTAGTGTGATTTGAAAAGAAAGGAGTTTGAATTAGGGCAGAAAAATATGAAATTTTTTTCATCATAGAGAAAACCAAAATTTCAACTTTAAATGGAAGGCATCTAATGTTTTCACGAGTTCAGATAGAGTCCCTACCACCCCAGGGACATGGAATCAGAACATTTTTAAACCCAGACCCGCATGGCCTCTCTGTGTGTCCTGGACAGTGAATCACCAGACTTGCCCCAAGCTCTGGCATTAGGCTCCAGGGTGTGTCCATCTCCAGCTCCCAGCCTGGCTTCCTGAACTCTTGGAAAGCCTTGCTAGGCTCTGTCTCCACCTGTTTTCATAATACTATTTAAAGAACAGGAGCCCATCTTAGCCCCTAACTGGAAACGATGTCAGTTCTCTGCTAACGAAATGAACTCTCCTAATGCCATGAAATCGGGAAGCTGCAACACACGGCCAATATTTGAGCTTGTTTTCCCCTGCAATACTTTCCCACTGCCCATGTGGGAAGATCTGGGGAGGTCAGGGGACTTTGAAAGTCCTGACAGTTGCAGGTCCGTCTCAACAGCAGATATAAACTGAGATATATTTTAAAGGGGGTTGGGGAATATTCTTTAATTAGAGGGCTTCCATCAGAACCTTGGTTGCTGAAGACAGTCAAAGAAATCCACCAGGTTTAAGATGATTCACTCTGAGACCCTGGGTACAGAAGTCCTAGACCCTTCTTAAATGCTTATATCATCAGATTAAAACTCTGGTCTGGAATTTCCCTGGTAGTCCAGTCATTAAGACTTCAACTTCCAATGCAGGGGGTACAGGTTTGATTCCTGGTCGGGTGCTAAAATTCCATATACCTTGTGGCCAAAAAAGCAAAACATAAAACAGAAGCAATATTGTGACAAATTCAATAAAGACTTTTTAAATGGTCCACATTAAAAAAAATCTTAAAGTAAAAGCAAAAACAAAAAGCTCTGGTCCATGTACTGGGGGGAAGTGGAATTACAGGCACCTTAGAATCAGAAAGCATATAGGCTGAGCTCAGACCCACCATAACAAGCTGATAGACAGTATGAACTTCTGTGCTTCTGTTTCCTCATGTGCAAAAGAAAGCTAAGAATTCTTCATATACATAATTATGGGATTCTGAAGATCAAGTGGACCACATACGACTTCCCTCTGTACTGTGTCAGTAAACAGAAGGCACACATTAT